GAGGAGAGTGTTGGACCTGGCTCCAGGTATCGGCGATGTGATGGGTGCAGATGGACATGAGCATCTCGCCAGGATTTTGGAAAAGAGTCGTAAGTATCTCTACCCCTAACTTCGTTCCCACCCTGTCGAGCCTTGGTAGCTTTTGGTATTGGAGATGCTAACCCTTTCTCGTTTGCTTTTTGTCAATGTGTTCGCACAGTGTCGTACTAAAACTCATTCTTCTTTGAATCCCGATCTTGCCGATTCGGTCGTTACGATGTGTCACACCTCATGTTCAGGCTGAAATATCAAAACAGTGAATGGATCAGAGGGCGTAAAGAGGGAGCCGCGCTTCTGTGCATTTTATAAAAAAAAGCAAATGTGGCGCGTGAAATTGAGACTGGCTCTGCTCGAGTGCCAAAAGCAAAAGCCGGATCAAGGTGGAGTAGCGCTTTCAGCCGCATCCGCATTTTTGAGACTTGTTCGCTATTCGCCACGATCTCATAACCTCATTTGCTTTGTTCTTGAACACCTTCTTTCCCTTCTACCATCCTTTCCTCTATCTGCACTCAAACACATCGATCGTATCCAACATGTCGGTCATATACAACATTCCCGGGGCCAAAGACCTCATTTCATCCATCTTCAATGGTCGCGATCCATTCTACAATCTCACCTGGGCCGGTGTACCGCTCTCCCTCCTCCTCGCAGCCATTCCACACTGGTATACCATCTACCTTGCCGAATCTAACAAAGTCCAAGGAGGATGGTCTAACGCTAACCCGCGATTTTGGGTTCAACGTCTAATTGCCAAATCCAACACAAACAAATTGTCCCCTTTGGAACTTAAGATCCTTAGAGGTCAAAGTTGCCAGGCTAACGCCTTCGAAAATGTACCCCTCTTCATCGCCACTTTGATCTGGGCAAACGTGACCAAGTTGGATACCAAGACGATCAACAATTTTGTCGTTGGTTATCTGACAAGTAGACTGGCTTTCACTTGGTGTTATCTTAACCTTGGTTCCAGGGTTAACAGCTTTGCTAGAACTGCCGTCTTTCAGGTCGGCATCATTTGGATCATATCCATCTGGTGCAAAGGTGCAATGACTCTTCTTCCTGCGTTGAAGTAAGACTTGTATTCGCTCTTACACCACACTACCATACACAAAGATCCTTCAACAATGCAATACAAAAACACCACACAAAACAACTTCAGCTTTGACTTTGACTTTCTAGCAGACACGCACGCTTCTGTTCTCAACGACGACGTTGAGTGTGTTTGATCATGCGTCTAATATCTACAAGATCAATCAGAGCTTGCTGGCAAATCTGGCCCTCAGTACGTTTTTCTGGACTTTACCCGTGCTAGTCTTTGGCAATTCGTCTACGACATCGAACCACTCTGGAACAGCAAACCCACTCATCCTCTCCTTGCAGTGCTTTTTGAGAGCTTCAACGAAAGCTGTATTCTCCTTGCTTCCTTTTTTCTTCAACTCGCTCAGGTTCAATTTCACCTTGGACTGTTCGGTGAGAACGACGAAAGCTTGGCCTCTTTCGCCCCATTTTTCGTGCGGTCGAGCGATGACGCAGCATTCTAGGATGTCTGGATGTGCGGCTAGTTCCTGTTCAACCATGAGCGAGGAGATGTTTTCACCGCCAGAGATGATGATGTCTTTGCCACGGTCGAGGATTTGAATTTCACCACCGGGATGACGGACGGCAAGATCGCCAGTGTGGAAGTAGCCTTTCATCACGGCTTTCGATGTGGCAGCTGGGTCGTTGTAGTAGCCGAGCATTGTCATGTTTCCTCGAATGACGATTTCGCCCGTTTCTTTGCCATTGCGTTCCACGTCGACCAGGTCATCGTTGGATGGATCGTTGGACGATTCGGTACGGATGACGCGAACTTCGTCCGATGTCAGATACGAGTGGCCTTGACGTGCCATCATTCGCGCGCGAGAGTCGACGTCGAGTTGCGCCCATTCAGGTTCAAAGTATCGTCGTGTAAAGGGTCCGTAGGTCTCGGTAAGACCGTAGACATGGACAGGGTAGAGGTTGAGCGATTCCATCTTGGCAAGGAGGTTGGCGGTTGGGGCCGAGGCTGCGACTGCGACATTGACCCGACGGTTGAGCTTGCGTGCGGAAGGGTGATTGACGAGGCCGATTTGAACTGTGGGAGCTCCGCAGTAGTGCGTAACGCCGTGGTTGAGGAGGGCATCCCAGATGACGGCATTGTCGACTTTACGGATGGTGTGATGGGTGCCGAGAGACGCGGTGACCGCCCAGGGGTATGTCCAACCACATGCGTGGAACATGGGAAGTACCCAAAGATATACGCTATCCTGGGTGATGTTGCTCTCAAAAGCGTTGGCTACGGCAGAAAGATAGGCTCCGCGGTGGTTGGTCAGTACACCTTTGGGACGACCGGTTGTGCCCGAAGTATAGCAGAGTGCGATGGGCTGTTCCTCATCCTGGGGTGCAGAGATGAGCTTCCAGCCGGTCTTGGGTTCGGCGGAAGGCTTGGTGCGCGATTTGTACTTTTCCAACTCGTCCTGCTCTGCCTTCTGCCATGCTTGCCAGCCCTGATCGAGGAACTTCTCATAGTCATCGCTGGGGTCCTGCCCGCCCGAATCTTTGCTAATCACCACTGTGATTCCATCGGCGGGCGGAGGGAGGAGATGGGTGAACTCGTGATCGCACAAGATGATTGTGCTTCCCGAGTGCTCGAGGACATAGGCGACTTCTTTGGGGGTGTTTCTGATGTTGATCGGGGTGATGATGCCTCCTGCGGCTGGGATGGAGTAGTGCGCATCGGCGATCAGGGGTGCATTGGGGGAGATAACGGCGACGCGATCTCCCAGTTTAAATCCGGGAACGGAAAGCAAAGCGAATGTGAGCGAGAGCGTACGAGCAGCCCACTGCTCGTATGTGAACGAGTAGCCGCGTTCAGGATGGGCAATGGCCAACTTGCGTGGTGCGATGAGGGCCGCACGCAGGAGAAAAAAGACAGGGGTGAGGGAGGAGCGGTGGTGCGGGGTGGCAGGATGATGGGCGAGGGAGAGCTCAAAGGGGATCGATGTAGTTGGGCGCGAAGAGCGCGGTGGACTGTAAGTTGGCATGTTTGCGGGTATGTTGGCCTAGAATGGGTATGCGAAGGTGATGATGATGACGATGATGATGGTGAGAAGGCAATCGGTCACAAGGCGAGCGAGCTTAAGTAGGAATCGAGCAGAAAAGCTGCAAGAGAAAGCCCCGCTCCGGCTAATCCTATCTATCGATGCCAAAAGGGGAAAAAAGGAAGGAATGCTGCCAAGTACAGCCGGTCAAAGTTGACATTTTGCTCCAAGCACGGGCGAAGCGGTACGAATAGCGCACACATTCTGATTGACCCGAGCATAAAAAATATCTGTGTGGGGTAATTTGCCTTGCCGAGTACGATGCTTGTGGTCACTGCTGCTATATTTTGATTGCCTGCCATGTGTGGAGGGTGCTGCACCTCTCAAGGTTTGGTGGAGGGCCTCTCTACTATTCTTCTTGACTGCTTTTGTTAGCCCGTGGAAGAGGCTTGGCAAGCGCCGTATTGTTGTATCATCAAGCCAATGAGAATCGCTCCAATGGCAGCATTCGTCACGATCAAAGAAGGCTCTCGCCCAACGAGGGCAAAGGCGAGACCCCATGTTGAGGTGAGCAGCATCGGTTGGAGGTGCGCACAAGCCAGATTTTTTTCTTTTCAAGTTTCCCCTTTTACCGCTCACCGGTCTGGCGGCTCCTAATTCACTTCCGATTACCGGTGATATGTTAAATCTGAATTTTTGTTGAAAAATTGCGGGGTTGACAAGCACGGACCCTCTTCTCTCTTCTTCCTCGTTTGGTCCGCGGAGCATTTCTCTCAACCTTCAAGCCCACGCTGAGCCCACCAAACTCAGCACAACCTCGCCTCTCTTTCTCCTTTGCTTTCTACCAACACCTTTCCTCTTCGAACGTAAAGATGCGTCTGATATCACTGGGCTCTTCATTCGCCGCTGGGCCGGGCATTGCGCCTCAAATCGACAAGGATGCTGGTCGAAGTAGCAACAACTATCCCAACTATTTTGCGCGTAAACTCAATTTGGACCCCAACGATCCTTCGCAGTTCCTCGATCTTACCGTTTCCGGTGCCACGCTTTTGAATGTGATCTCTGAGCCTCAGGATACTGGGAAAAGGGTATTCGCTCCACAGATTGATCTGCTTCCCACTCTCCCAGCAGGTAATGATGGTAGCGATGTAGTCATCACCATCACGGGTGGGGGTAATGATATGTTCTACATCGGATCCATGTTCGCCTACACCCTCCAACATACGCTTTGGGGCAGGATCTTATCCTACTTCCTCCAAACATCCGAAGAGAAACATCGTCTTGAACATCCCAGCATCGCCACATCCGACGAAATTTCTTCTCGTTTCACCACTTTACTCGACAAAATCCTTGCAAAATACCCAAATGCCACCATCTACCTCGTCGAGTATTTCGCCATGATGGGTCCCAACACTGTACCAGGCAAACATGTCGCATGGAATCAACAGCAGATCCAAAGCTACATCGAAACGGCAGATCTACTGCAGTCGCTCTACGCAAAAGCTGCCCAAGCAAGGGATAGAGTTCACATTGTACCACTCGCAGAAGAGAGTAAGCAAAAACATGCTTTGGGCTCAAAGAATCCTTGGGTTTCCGACGGTTCGTTGTGGAACTTTTACAAGGGTGGAGCATTCCATCCAAATCAGATAGGAATGAAAGCCGCTGCCGAAATACTGTTTGACTTTCATACAAAACTCAACCCAAGCAAAGCTTTGCAGTAGTACGCTGTAATCACCTCGCAACTGTATGATGGTATGCAAGTATCATTTTTTCTGCGCAAAACAAAAAGCAACCTCCTCGTTTAGCTTTGTGTAACCAGGTGTCAGAGGTGCAAAAAAAGAACCACACTGCTGTACCAATCACATAGAAAATTAGGAAAATGTCGAAAAGCCCTCAAAAAGTGATTAGGCCAGGTGGGGTTCGAACCCACGAACCCGAAGGACGAGGAAAAGGTAAATTAACATAAGCGCCTTAAATCTCACGCAGTTGACCACTTTGCTACTGGCCTTTCGCCAAATTCGTCCGCGTTGTGCATTCATATACACTTGAAGAAATTCAAATTTCTGAACCACTCAACGACACCACGAAACCCAATTTCTGGATCAGCACAAACCTCACAAACGCTTTGATCACACTCGATGCATGCTGAAACGGGCCTCTGCAATTGAGAAGGGAATGAAAAGAGATAAGGTCCATGTGCTGTTTGTGAACTGCGAGTAATGATGATGTAGGATCAAGGTATCAATGATGTATGGGGAGCAAGAGATGCTAGTCGATTCAATGCCGAGAGATGGAAAGGGCGGATCCGATGAGCTGTAGTGAAGAATGAGAGTCTAGATACGACGAGGTTGATCAGTGAGTTCGTACGACTCGCCCAAGCCTGCAGGGCGGCGAACGGCTGCGTAAGGTGGTGCGGGTCCAGCCGACGAAGTGGGCAAACCAGTAGGGTTGCGAAGTCGGCCTTGCTCGAGCGCGTTGGCTGGCGACAAGGGGCGCGAGGGTGGAGCCGTGCCTGGAGCGGTACCTTGTTCGCCGCTGACCTCATCAAAGACGTCATGTCCACCAAAGGCAGCACCGGTATCCATAAACTTGTATGATCGCTCTCCTGCGCCCAGCGTGCTTTGAACGCCAGCCTCAGGCGTGGTGGCCTTGTCCAGATCCTCGGGAGGTGGGAAGGGGACCATGGTAACGTGGTTGAGCGTGGTAGAGTTGGGATCACCCTTGGGACCGTAGATCCTGCACTCGGCCATGAGCACCTTGAGCTGGCAGAGCCATCGGTTGCGGCGCTGTGCCTTGAGGCCACCCTGCTGCCAGTTGGACTTGTATCGGATACCAGCCGAGAGCAGCAAGCTGCCCTGCTCCTGGAAATCGACGACGTTGATATCCAAACCAGGCAAAAAGTCGCGCTTCTCGCCCTCGAGCCAGTGGACCATCTTGGTTCGCAGCGCCTCGATCTGGGCGAACGAGGTGGAGTAGGCCACTTCAAACTTGAAGGTTTCCTCGATGGCACCGGATCGACGCAAATTGACGATGGGCTTGGTGGCGAGCTGATTGTGGCTGATCATGACGTTCTTGCCGTTGGTGGTTTTGAAGACGGTAGTGAGCAAGCGCATCTCCTTGACAATGTATGCGTCGTCGCCGACATCGACACGGTCACCGACGTCATAAGGATGCTTGATGAAGAGGAAGATGATGGCACCAAGCGTCTCCTGAGCGGTGGAACCAATGAGCCAAGAGAGACCGAGGATCAGCGTACCGAACGAAGTGACGAGAGTGCTAAAGGCGACGGACAACATGGCGGCGATGATGATGGCAGCAATGAGGATGAAGACGCTCATAAAGATCGAGTCGAGTCGTCCGACAGCAGAATCGACGTCGCGCATCGAGAGCTGCAACGCCAGTCGCTCGCGGTGAATGTCGATGCAAGCCGTTTCGAGCTCTTCTTTTGTGATGTCTCCGTTGAGATCACGGTCAAAGATCTCGAAGGCGACTTCGGCGGTGGTGGCATCGGGGAAGCAGTGGATGATGTCGTCAACGACCAGCTCTGACTTTCCAGGCGGGCAGAAGCTGTACCAGATTCTCCTTGCGAGCGCTTGAGTCTGCTTGCGCGAGTTGAGCGATGATGCTACGACGGAACGGGCGTTGCCTGGCTGGAGTACGCCCTGACCAGCAATCTCGCTCGCGACGGTTCCAAGAACGCTGGTGCTCTGCAGTGCAACATCGCGGACTTTTTGACCCGTCTTTCGCAGACGGTTGCGTGCCATGTGAAGACCGGTCGACTTGCGCTTAGCCTCGTGCTCGGCGGCAATGTAGGTATCTTTGCGGTTGAGGTTCTTGGAGTTCTCGTAGAGGGTGGTGAGCACCTTGACGTTGAACTTGGATGTCTGAATGCGATCCTCGTAGGAAACGCGGTGGAAATTGTATGCGATACCCTGAATGAAGAGCTTCTCGCAGAGCAGGATGGCAGCACTGAGACAGACACCAAACCAGAGACGATATCCGGAGAGCATAATGTCACTGGTCGAGGGCCAGGAGCTGTCGCTCTTTTGGGTGACGACGGTGGTGCGACCCGAAGAGGACGAGGAGCCAGTGGTGGAGGTCGAGTTGGTGGGTGTCAAGGATGCCTGTTCGATGGCGGCTTTATCGGCACCTTGGAAGTTGCCAATGACGATGGCGAGCCAGAGAGCAAAGAGGAGGATGGTCCAGAGGAAGAAAGCGACGTATTTTTCGGTGACGATGAGGAACTCGGTGTATCTGCGCATCTTTTGGTGGATGTTTCCGACGGTCCATCGAAGGATGCGGGGGATCATGATGGCACCGACACGGCAAACCCACCAGCCGATCCAGATGGCGCTGAGCCAGACGGACCACCAGAAGATGCCGACGTCGAGCACTTTTGGGTTCTTGAACTGGTTGGCGGGTCTGGCGTCGTAGACGAGGAGAGCGAGAATACCGGGGATCCAGAAGAGAGCGGTGGGAATGAGAATGTAAAGGATGAGTCGTACGGAAGGATGGCCGAGACTGGGACCTGCGGCATGACGACCGTTGAGACCAACAAAGCTTGCGTTGGCGCTTTCATGTGAATAGCCGGCACCTTTGAGGAGACGCTCCCACGAGTCACTGTCCTGACGACTGAAGCCGGGGCGCTTGTCAGCCGAGGCAGCCTTGCCTTTGCCCATGGCAGCTTCGAGGCGCTTGGACATATCGGTGGAGTGCGAATACTCTTGTCTGCGTCGGGTTTGAGGGGCGGCGGATTGGGAGGGGGGATAGGTGTTGGAGAGATCGGAGCCACCATCGTTGGCCCATTGACCTGAACCGCCGTAGTTGGCTGGATAGTTTTCGTATTCCTTCTCGGAAGGGTAGTCGGCCATGTTGTCGTAGTAAGTATTGGCGGTGAGACTGTGGCCAGCCAGAGGAGCGTCGTAGGTGCGAACAGGTTGATGGATGGTGGCGCTGTCGTCCGAGGGCCTGGCTGTGTGTGCGGCGGTTGGACTGCCACCGCCGGGCACGCGAGTCCACGGCGCCGACATGGTTGTGTGAAGGGATCTAAGGTTTCAGAATGGTGAAAAGCTGTCTAGGCTAGGGTTGATATGTGAATAGGGAAGAGGTGGTGGTGGTGATGGGACAGAAAGTGTGTTGCCTAGCACACAAAGTGGTGTCTTGTGGTGAGAAAGGAAGAAGATGCGAAGGTCGAAACCATCAAAGGGAAGTCAGAGACAAGAGCATGGAAGACTGCTGGCAGGCTGCAGCCGCGTTGCATGATTGTGCTGCTGCTGCTCCTCCTGTCAGTTTGCAATCTTTAAGTTTTCAGTGTTGTTCTTTCTTTTTAGGGGAAATAATAATAATAATAAAAATACAGTATTGAAATTCGTGCACTGTGCTTAAAAAAGTAACAAGCTTCGAACGGCGGTACAGCGTGACTGAAACCCAAAAAAAAAAAGGGGCGCTGGAACGATGTGAACCCCTAAATCTGCGAGAAGACGTCGGGGCATTCCAACTGCAGCCGAGCAGTGGTTGCAAAATAAAGCTTAGATTCTGAATCCATCACTCGGACGCTCTGCTCAACATCAAGCTTGAAGTCCTCTCTAAAAGCACTCTCGATGTTGTCACCGCATTCTGTCAGCATCACTATCGGTAATGGGTGTAGAGATGGCTGGATGGCATGTGTTACGAACCGTCGACAGTCGCTCTTTTCGTCAAGAGCCAAGCTCGGATCCCGTTGATCTGTCACCTGAGTCAGCGAAGGAAAAGCTCCAAGCAAGACAGCGGAAAGCGATCCGAGCTGTTGGTGCGTGTGTGTGCACTTGAGTTTGAGCTGAGTTTGAAAGAAGAGAACCTTTCTTTGAAAGCAAAGTTCGATCAAGAAGCGTTTTGGTGTCTGTGCGCAAGAAGAAATATATATGTGATTTCAGAGAGACAAGCGAGCGATCTCAACTCTTGGTGATGTGACGCCAGGTGGCGCACCTCTTCGGCTTCTTGACGTGATCATACAGGGCCAAGCAGCACAAGTTTTACACATCCCCGGTCGTCTGACATCTTGCAACACTTCGTCTCCGGCGAATTGTTTCTTGAATCGCTCTGCAGTCAATCTGGTCACGGCTTGTTCCTGCGTTCTGTGTTGTCACACAAAATCAGAGTCTAACGTTGGTTGCAGGTGGAGCTTCGTCCATATTGATCAATGGTTCACACTGTTCCTGATTCCAGGCCGAAGACCGGCAACTTTCGGCGGGAGCTTTGCACTTTGAATCGGCAGCGGCGCTGTCTTGACTCTTCGGCACCATTCATTTTGATCCAACACACGCCTTGTCTTTCTCGGGCGGAAAGGCGTAGAGACGCAGGCTCGCTTCAAGCCGAATCCCACATTTCCGGCGTCTCAGCAGCGTCAGGTCGGTGCGGACCGCATTCAAAGAGCGCGACGCCCAGCGCAGCTTACAGTATGCCAGATCTGCGTAAATTTCCCGATTCACAGCCGGCACGCGCCGCATGATAATCCGTGGCCAAAGAATCCCTCTCGATGTGATCCATCGACTCCATCTCCATCACGTCCAATCATCTGTTCTACGCTCCTCACTTCGTCAACCATCACTCGTTCCCTTCCATCTTTTATTCCGTAACGCATCGATCATCACGCTACTCACCTTCATAGCCCGCTTCCTAGCTTCGACTCATTCCGGCGCCGTGAGCGCAACATCTTGACTGGCACCCACCCGGCGCTTCCGTTTCATCTCGGCTTTTACTCCTTGGCATCCATTCACTTCAGCTCGGACCTGCCACTTTTTTGCGCATCTGCACTCCTTGACTCAGCCTTGATCCTTTTCTTCCACGTCTCCACATCAACAAGCTCACCGCAATCTTTCTGATCCACCCCGACCAGCTCGAGCACTCATGCCCTTTGTCCAAGCAGCTAGAGACATGATTGGTGCAGCAGTCACCGGCACAGAAGTGCACGAGGATGCTCCCAGCGGCATCATCTCGCTGTCATGGGCCTTTCTCGTGATCCCATGCATC